GCGTCGCTGTGCTTGCGGCCTGACTTATAGACCACTGTCATGTTGAACTCTTGTAGTCGAAGACTCCATCGAGCGAGGCGTCCTGACGGGTCCTTCAGCTTCGCAAGCCAGCAGAGCGAGTGGTGGTCCGTGACTACACGGAACGGGCTGCCGTACAAGTACGGACGAAACTTCGTTATTGCCCAGACGACCGCAAGGCATTCTTTCTCAGTTGTGGAGTAATTTTTCTCCGCTTTGGACAATGTCCGACTTGCGTAGGCGATGACTCGCTCGATGCCTTCTTGCACTTGGACTAGTACTGCGCCCAGTCCCGCGTTACTTGCGTCTGTGTGAATTTCTGTTTCCGCATCCTGGTCGAAATGTCCAAGCACAGGAGGAGTCTGGAGTCGTCGTTTCAGTTCGTCGAATGCCTGCTGTTGCTCCTCGGCCCATTCGAACTTCTTGGCGTCCTTCGTGAGATTCGTAAGTGGTGCGGAAATCCTTGCGAAATCCCGAACGAAGCGTCGATAATAGGCACAAAGTCCAAGGAATCTTCGCACGGCCTTCTTATCTGTCGGCGCTGGAAATGCCGCGACGGCGCGAGTCTTCTCGGGGTCTGGGCGGACGCCTTCGTTACTAACCACGTGGCCAAGGAACTTCAGTTCGTCATAGGCGAACCGGCACTTTGACGGCTTGAGTGTGAGTCCGGCGGTCTGAATGGCTTGAAGAACAGCTCGGAGTCGTCTCAAGTGCTCGTCGAAGTCAGCTGAAAATACTACGACGTCGTCAAGATAGACGAGACAACTCTGCCACTTCAGCCCTGCCAGTACGGTGTCCATGACACGCTGGAAAGTTGCTGGCGCTGTGCATAGTCCGAAGGGCATCACCTTGAACTCGTACAGTCCATCCGGCGTGACGAAGGCTGTCTTCTCTCGGTCCCGTTCGTCGACCTCGATTTGCCAGTAGCCGCTCTTCAGGTCCATCGATGAAAAGTATCGAGAGTGACGCAGCCGGTCTAGAGTGTCGTCGATGCGGGGGAGTGGGTAGACGTCTTTCTTCGTAACCGTGTTGAGCTGCCGGTAGTCCACGCAGAACCGAAGAGTTCCGTCCTTCTTCTTAACCAGCACGACTGGAGAGGCCCATGGACTGCTTGAAGGTTGGATTATGTCGTCATTCAGCATCTCTTGAACTTGCTGATGGATCACCTCCCTTTCCTTAGCGGAGACTCTGTACGGCGATCGATGCACAGGGCGCGCGTCGTCCTCAGTAACGACGCGGTGCTTGGCAACCGCGGTCTGGCGCACCTTCGACGACGTCGCAAAGCAGTCGCGGTATTCGGCGAGGAGGTTAACCAGCTGACGCCGTTCAGGGTCCGGAAGCTTAGGGTCAATGTCGAGCTGCGCTGGCGACGTACTGTCTTGCTGGGGCGGCGAGGATTCGTCAGTGATCGCAGTGGTTTCGGCGGGGTTTCGGAGTTTCTCGACGTGGCCCACGGCTGCACCTTTCGTGAGGTGTTTCGTTTCGTTTCGGAAGTTCGTCACGAGGGCCACAGTCCGCCCATCCTGAAGTTCAGCTACTCCCCTTGCGACGGCTATGCCTCTTCCCAGGAGCAATTGGAGGCTTCCCTCGAGAAGAACTTCGCCACAGGAAGCTTCATCGATCCCGACAAGTACGAAAACACTCGACCGCGGTGGTAGGTTTACGTGGTTTGCGAGGACTCGGACCGTGGGTGACGTCGCTTCGGGTTCCTCCGCTGGTGGAGCAGGTTTTCGTAGCGTCAGCCGGTTTGTTCCGAGGTCGATGACGGCGCCATACTCGCAGAGAAAGTCCATTCCGAGGATTACGTCCCTCGAACAGTCTTGCAGAACGACGAACTTGACGGGGCACGTTTCACCGTGGATCTCGACGCGAGCAGTGCATCTCCCGACTGGTGTGATGAGATGTCCTCCGGCGGTTCGTATTTGGGGTCCTTCCCACGGCGTCATGACTTTTCGAAGGCGGCGGGAGAGCCTCCCACTCAAGACTGAGTAGTCTGCTCCGGTGTCCACGAGTGCCGATGCGTCATGACCGTCGATGACGACGTTTAGGTTGTTGGACACCGTTGCAGGGGCGTCGTAGCGATGCGTGGCGTCGGGAGAGTGGGAGCGCTCCGGCGTTCTTGGAGGCTCTTTACGTCGGTCGTCTTCGGCAACTCCACCTCCAGGGGTTGCCGCGCCTAGTTTCCCCGGCGAGGAGCGAGGGGCGACAGGCTTTCACGTCGGGGTCGGTGCATCGGCGAAGCTGGACGTCGTGGCGATGGCGACCGGAACTCTCGGCGGGACGCAGGCTCGGGGGACTGGGGTCGTCGCAGGTACTCGTCGATCTCCCGAGGGCGTTCGCCACACCGGGGGCGCGGGTCGTTTGGGTGGAATCCGCGCAGCCCGAGTCGTCGGTATGGGCATCGGCGGTACACATGGTCGGCTTCCCGCAGTGGTAGCAGAGCGGGCGTCGGTCGGCCGTTCGCTACACGTCGGTCTTCCTCGACGAGGGTTGCTCCGGGCGAACGTCGTGGACTTGTCCTTCCTGGCGTCGAGGATACTGTGGCATCGGAGGGTCTCGTCGGGGTGGCGCCGTGGTCTGGCGGTTAGCTTGCGGCGATCTTCGGGCCATGGCGGCGTAGCTCAAAGTAGGCTCCTATGGCGTCGTCGTTTTGATCGGAATCTCAGGTTGGAAGGCTCGGTGGACTTCCTCTCGGACGACCTCGGCGAGCGACAGGGAGGACGAGCGATCCGTAGCGGGGAGCATCTTGCGGATTTCTTCCCGGACGACTTCACGGATGATGTCACGGATGCCTGGGAGGTCGGTACCAAGGTCGTATCCGGATGTCGCCAGAGTAGTCACGCCAGGGTGCCGCTCGTAGTGTCTGGCGCGTGCTAGTAGCGCACGCTCCATATTCGTCGCCTCCGTGACGAACCCGTCGACAGTTGTCGGAGGATTGCGAATGAGACCTCCGAATATCTCGCTTTTGACACCCCTCATCAGGTGTCGCAGCTTCTTCTCCTCTGTAGCCTGAGGATCGGCGCGGGCGCTCAGGCGAAGAACATCCTCAACGAAGCTGGTGATGCTTTCATTCAGACCTTGGGTCCTTGTTCGAAGGATGTCTTCGGCCCTCTCGCGTCGGTGTTGGCTGGTAAACGTCTTCACTAGCTCTTGCTTGCACACCTCCCACGAGGTTAAAGAAGCCTCGTGGTTCTCCAGCCAGTACCTTGCAGTACCTTCCAGCGAGAAGTAAAGGTTCTGCAAGCAGTGCTCAGCTGACCACCCGTTATGTCGGGCCACACGTTCATAATGTTGCAGCCAGTCCTCGATGTCCTCGTGGGTGTCTCCGTGGAAAGGCGTCGGAGTTTTGGGTGCGACGGGCAGGTATACGACGCTGGCGGTGGACGGGTTCTGGGACGACTGGCTGTCCATCGTTGGCCTCGTTGGCTGCTTAGTCTTGGGCGGTAGTGGTCCGAATTCCGGGTGTAGACCTTGGGTGCGACGACTGAACCGGATCTCGGAAGTGCTTTCGTCGGTTCTTCGTGGGCTAGGCGTCGGACTTGCACTGTGGGCCCTCGGAGGGGTACGCGGCAGGGGCATGCGGTACCCAGCACCTCCACCAAATGTCACGGGTGGTGACCAAACAAAAAAACAGGAAATAAACAGAAAGAAATAAACGTTTAATGTGGCGAACTTGTGCCAAAAAACTAAAGAAGGAAACAGAAGAAAGCAGAGCGTCGCGGGCGTCGAAGTCGGCGTGTCAGCAGAATCGAGCGCTAGGGCGAGACTGACTCGACAAGGTCGCGGGCGGCCTCTTATCTAGAGTGCGCCGCTATCTTGAAGATTCGGCGAAAGCGGTTCGAGCGTCGCGTGATCGGGGCGAGAATGAACACGCACTTCCTAGAAAACAAAAGCAGGGATAAATGATAGAAGTTATGTGTGGCACATGAATAAACGGGAACTTTCTGGAGGACCGTGACCGAGCGTTGCTTTCTCAGCCTTGCGCGCGGCAATATGCCCAATTTTTTATGGTCTTGCTGAAGTTCTTTTATAAATCTACCAAAAGGGTAATAATATTTTCAGTATTCACACGGGAAAAGTAAATCATGTTGAACTTGGTATGTACTGCAAGACCCCGCACCATATAACAAAAAGGAATGTTACCCCAATTAAAATTAGGTTTCCGGGGGGAACAGATGCGTGTTGCCCCGTAGGCCCACTGTGAGCCCCACCAGGGGGGCCTATGTGAGCTGCCCACCTACGCCCCCTTTGGGCTGTCCAAGTAGAATCACAGAGGGTCCCGCCAGGGGACCCCATGTGGGCTGCCCACTAATTTCCCCGTAAGTCCTTTGAGGTAGCCCAGGTGGGATGAATAAGTGGGCCCCACTTGGGCCCGACTTCCAAAACCGTCGTGGGACCTATTCCGCCCCTCTTTTGTAGCCCATTTTGTGCTACTTGAGAACGTTGTATATCGCGCGCGTTGAAGCCCTTGTGTGCGACCCCTCTTCCCCTTCCTTCTTGCTTCCTCTTTCATTCTGGGCCATCTCCCTCTCGTGATAAGACGCAATAAGTTAGCGTGCCCCGCGAGCACGGTCGCTTTTTGTTATGTTTCAGTCATGGAATAAAAATATTCCCTCGCACTTCTCCGGCTACTGTCGTCAATGATCTGCCCCGCACCGGCGAACACAACAGGTGGGGTTGCGGCTCTTGTTACCGGAGGCATAGGAACTATCTACTAAAACCTGTAACTGTGTTAACATAATTAGTTTCGCTTAGATTTTCAGAAACGCCATGCGTACATTCCAATGTTATGAATATAATTATTTTCCGAGATAACCATTTAACGACGACGAACCTTTATTGGGGACATTCTTGAGAGTCAGATGACATATTACTTCAAACTTCTTGAAAATAATCAGATAAATTATTTTTAATCTTCTACCAATTAATCAGATAACATATTGCTTTAATCTTCCAATTATGAAGACTGCAACCAAATTATGTTACCACAGTGTGCATCTTTTAGGTGGAATCATCTTCTTCGGCGATTTGCATTTGAATGCGTCCGCGAACTCTTGGTGATTTTGCAGTGGCACGTTCACCCTGAAATTGCAATAGGTTATGAAATATGAAATGATAAGTCCGCAGTCGTTCGCGTTCTCTCGCTTTTTGTTGCACTCAAATTTTGTCCAGGAAACAAAAGCAGCGGCAAATGCTTCAAGCCCTTTTCCGCTTATTGGAACGGAAAACCCGAGGCTAGCGGTGCGAAACTGTAGATGATGATCCTATTCTCCGCGGTTTGGCAGAGCCAGCCTTCAGCCTGTTGCACAACTGGCAAGTTTAGCGCACACCCGCGCCTCCCTCGTGCTCTAAGTTCCCCTAAACTTGACTGACTCATCGGTTGTAGACGATGTTCAGCTGGTTTTCAAGTGGAACCATATGTTTATTTTCTTTCCTTAGAAACTTAATAAAAAAACGTTTAATTCACTATTCAACTTGTGAAAATTATTCCCTATTTTGTTTCCGTCTTGCTGTATAACTTATCAGCCTAGCCCGCATTAAGGAACCGTTAGTTTTTTTTAATGTCAATTTGGATTTATCTCAAACAACCTGTTTGTCTTTACATAACAGTATTTTACTGACTTGAAAATTAATATGCAGGAACGTTTTTTTTAAAATACCTAAATGTGTGTTACGGAAAATATAAGTATCATCGGTTGCACGGCACGTTTTTAATGCGGAAACGTTAACTGTCCTATGGAGCAAGTCGACGTTATCAGCTTTGAAACCGCAACAATCGACAGCTAAATTCCCCTCCCTCAAAAAGCGAAGTCAAGCCTCGATCTGAAGCCCCCCAGCTTTGAAACCGCGCAAAAAGGCAGCTAATTAACTTCACCTTTCCAAACGTAGCGAAGTGAAGGCGGAACCTGATAGATAGGATGCCATTGGCTGGCGCGAGTCATAGTTTCTAGAAACAAGACTCCCATTGGCCGGCACCCGTCAGTTTCAAGGGGCGCCACTCCATGGTGCTGAGGGCCGGCGCCGCCGCGCGCCGGTAAGAAAGAAACGGCTGGCTGCGGCGGGGCCTCCAAGAGCCCGCTTGGGCAGACTCCGGAGCGGCTGCACGGTCGATGTCAGCGCGGAGCGGCCACATGCCGAGAGCGCGCACAAGAACGACTTTTATACTTTCACATTCACAACTCACATGACGAGCTTAGGTGTACCTCGAACCTTCTTCCTTCTCGACTTTAGTTCTGGTGTTATGTTCTTCTCGACCAACAGATGTCTTTCTCACTGTCTTCAGTACCTGACTTTGTGTCATTCCTTAAACAAGTCGAGACCCTCGGATAAATTGTCAGAATAAATATACCCGTGTTGTTTTTTCAAGTTGCCTTTTATTTGTGCTGAGTAGCTTTTCGGCCATGACTTATTCCCCTGGTATATACGAAATATGACGATCAATAAACCATGCAGTTAAAATGGAGTAAGTCCTAAATATGCACCGAAAGTCTAACTTTTGTCAAAACCAAAAATGAAACTGAGTTTTTTTGTTTTTTTTTTTCAAGGTAAAAACAACGGTACTACGCCGTCTTTTCTTTCAGTGGTTTTTATATGATATAAATGCACTAAAATACAATATATTTAACCAGAGGTGCACTGCAAGCCCATACTGCCGCGTGGAATGCGATACGAGTAAGTCCATGGGGGCTAAACAATGTTTCATGTCTTTTATTTTTCAGAGTACGCTTATAGGCTGTTTCTCAGTGCCAATCACTTAGTAAATACATTGCTTATTTATTATCGAATATTATTTAAAATGTTTATAGTAGTGATTTACTCGGGTCGATATGTTGCAAAACGTCGTACATTTGTTTGAAGATACTTGCCAATTCTCCTGAAATTCACATTTTCTTATACAGTTTCAATAGAAATTAAAGCGGACAATATTTACCTGTGCATTGGTAAGCTGTGTGGATTTTGTTGAAGGTAATATCTTCTTGCTTCCTTCGTCATTTTGTTGCACATTGTCTGGAAACCATCGAATAGTGTGTATTAACATGTGGTAATGCAATTTCACAAAGACACGAAAAGATTTGCCTGACGATAATATATATAGCACAAAAATACAAATTCACTGCAACGTAGTAAAGTTGATATTTGGGCTAATTGGTTGTCTAACATATCGAGGTATATAGCACAAAAAGTAGAGAGAAGAGCGGGAAAGAAAGGTGCGCCGCTCACAGCTATGTTTACTGACAAGAATGTAAAGAAGAAAAAAAAACCATATGATTCGCCGCGGACTCGCGCATCCACCACTAGCCCCGTGAATGATAGTGGCGCACTCATCCAAGCTCGTGTGAGCCCTTTATTGGCTGTTGAAGGAATTGCCTTTCCTTGTTTAGCAGAGGTCATGGATTCTACACTGATAGAGTTTCTGTCCTCACAGAGGTTTTGAAAGGCCTCCGGCACCTCGCGGGTCGATTTGTCTTTGGTCCTCTCCAAGATGTTTAACTCGTCAAATAATGGTCAGCACTTCTACTCCCTACAGTGGATTGGAAGGTTTCCGCCCTCTGTAGACTTCAAGGAGTCTGTCATTGAGGCATCGGCCCGTTTGGCCAATGTTTTTCTTGCCACATGAAAATTGTATTTTGTGTACGTGAGCGGCACTCTTTTCTATCCCGTTCTTCTTCGCACTACTTTGTGCGCTAAATATTTCAGTATGTTTCACTGCAACATGATAAAAACTAGGAGCACGCTTAGGTTTCGTCTCTGAAAGTGGAACGCAACAGCGTTATCGGGCCCGGTTCGCATCGCCTTCTCATTCGGCGTGCAAGCGTGCCTTGCGTGGCCTAGTCAGTAGCGTGTCTGGCTGGTCGTGGGTTCGACACCCACCTAAACTTCTTTAGTTTTTTCTCAAGGCAACTTATTTACTTAATAAAGTGAGATCATTGGAGAGATGCCGCCACCTTTCATTCGCATTACATGCCATGTTTTAGTCACTTTCATTACATGTGCAAAGGCGCGTGACGTCAAGTTTCGCGTGAGCGTTGTGGGTTGTTCAAAATTCCTGGCACGAGTTCATGTGGCCGGGACGTCAAGAGCCTGTCACCAATCAGGATTTTTGCATTACGCCTCCTACGTCGGCGTTTCTGCAACACGAGCTCTTTATTGATGCTATCGCGTTAAATTCCTAGAAAAAACACAAACATTGGGCGAAAAAGCTTTCCGACTTCTCCCACGTATATTTTTGTGTATTTTTAATCGAGTTTTGATTATAAACGGACACGAGCACGAGATTTTTTTAACAAATTGAGTGATTTTCTCTTACTACTGAAATCTAGCAAAACTGTAAAAGCTCTCACGAAACAGGTACAGGATGCAGCAATTCTGATTGCATGCTCACTTCTCAGCAATTTCACATCAACTGAAATCTTGCTAAACTATTTTATACTTTATGGAAAAACAGTCAATCATAAAATAACATTAACTAGTCATTTACGTTTTGCGTGAATTTAAAAAAGTTTCAAAGTGTCTTCAAGGTGCGTGAATAAAAGAGATTTCATAGGAAGTTTATAAACAAAAGAAAAAATTGGCCATTTAACAGAAAATGTATTACAAAACCAAGTACGCGAAGCTTTCATGCTTTAAAAATTGTACGGTATAACTGTCACTTATGTAGTTTCTAATATTCGTTCGGTGCTAGAATACCGAAAATTGAAACATTGATGAAGCGATTTGTTGACTTAAACTTGAGATATTTACATTAGAAGTTTAATAGGTTGTTTTTATGGTTTTGTCTGCCATCTTACAAAAAAGTGTATGAAGTGCACGTAGCAAATTTAGTAGCTTTGCCTTTCTTGAACCCTCTGTCAAATTATTGCTGGTGTCATACCATAAGGTGTGCACTTGATGCTTCATTTGTTTGTATAGAAGGCTTGTTTTTTCCCTCTCCACTGCTGCAATTACCTAATGCAAGATCGCAGTATTTTCAAATATATAAATAAATCGATAAATAAACACGAATAAATCGCATTCAAAAGGAACATACATTTTAATGCGCTAATGAAAACCTTCTGGCTGTGATTTAAATGGGGTTAGCCAATGACGACAGGGTTAAAAGATTCGTTTCTTCACATAAGAAAACGAAAAGAAAACGGTAATAAGAAAGGTACCGATAAATGTAGAACTTCAGAAGCAATTTAAGACAACGAAAGATGGAGGTGAAAGTGTTTGTCTTCCATGTCTGTCTTTCGTTATCGTAAATTAGAAACCAACACGTTCAACCATTTACACCAGTAGCAAGTTCTCGCAACAGTACGAAGAACGTTACATGGTAACATTTTTAAGGCTGATATATACGTGACTGAAGAATGTAATAGGATGTAAACGATATGCATGTTTTCGTGCAATATTTCAGCGAGGGCTATGCGTTAGCTGGAGCTTCTAGACAGATCTACATCATCAAGTTATTTTGATTCGCATTCGTATGACACTTTCTAATCTAAAAAAATATATATATATTTTATTTAACGCGATTGAAGCCTCCTGACGCGTGTCGACTACACGATACTGTTAGCGTGAACACGACTTCGGTGCTTTTTGCATTTAATTTGGAAAGTACACTGGCGGGAATCAAAATTTACCACGTAGGTTAGTAGCCCAGCTAAGCACTTTTCATCGGTATTAAGTTCTAATGAGAGTCCTTCAATACTGATAAAAAAAGGAGGAAAATGGCTATGATTTGTTCAAACTAACAGTGCCATGGAGAGTACAGGCTCACTTCTTTAGCATTTTTTGTTACAATTGGCTAAGATTTAAGTTTATCACATAAAACTATTCCGATATAACATAAAAAAAGCATACTCGTAATCATTGTTGCATAAATATTGATGTGCAAATAAGTAAGAGAAACCTGGTAATGAAGAAGTTATGTTTTTAGGTTTCAAAACATGTGAGCAGTGATTCTCCGATGCTTGAATAAACTGTGTGAATGTGCGTGATATACGTGAAAACAAATATGCTCAACACATGCTTAAACTGGATTTATTCTTGCATATTCAACAAGGTCTTTAAACGTCTTCATCTTTTGTTTTATGCCGTCATAAATAAGCTTCCCATTACTGAATATTGAAGGTTCAAAGGCATCTCGAAAGTGAGTTTATATTTGTACATCGTAATAGCAAAACGAGGTATAAAAATTTCTTCCTTTTTTATTTCACAAAGCGCAAATTATAGCAACCCTTCGTCAAAAAGTTTTTTAATGTGTTTGGAATTCATATTTTACACTAATTTCGTTCAATACTGTACAATCGTTCAAGCTTGAATATGCCGTTTTGTATTAATTTGTTTTAAAGCAAGTTTCTAAAATTTATTCGTTTGAAATTAAATATACACAGATTTCATTGTTTGTAAACCTTTTCGGGTTTGCAACGTGAAGGTTTTAGTAAACATTTGGTAAGAACTGTTAGAGACTGTCTCAAAAAATACTTATAAGGGAACAGAAGTTTCACACATCGGCGAAAAGAGAACGCATTGCGGACTCTCTAGATTACGAGAAAGAATTTCCAGGATCCCTCATGAAAGCATGCGCAATTTTGGTTGGAGAGATATCCCCAAAGTACCCAAGTCTATTAGAGAAGCGCCGGCTTTCACTTTGAAGATACCAGAAGGCGCCTTTATAAAATATCTCTATGATGCCACTTACCGCTGCTCATGATACAAAAAAGTTTGTAATGCTACGGTTTGAGTCAAGTACTACTGTCCAAAGTTCAATTAATTTGAGTACTTCTTAATTATTTTAAATGGTCATTTAGGATAAATACAATAGACCATATGCAAGCCGCACAACGCCATCTAGTGAGGCGCCGAAGGATGTGCTCCATCTCATCAGTTGGCTTCGGCGCTGGCGAAGGCCACGGCGCAAAAGCGTAGTTCCAAAGAATTCTTCGCTCGAACAATCACTCGCGCAGAAAAAGTGCTTTCGAAAACCAGGCTCCGCGCCCGTGGCTTTGCCGACACTCAAAGCCAAATTTACAACTGAAGTGTACGGCTGCCATGTTGGTTGCGGCGAGAAACCATCGCCCGGCGGGGTCACCAGCATGTACATGTGCAAGAAGCGCGTAAAACAAGAGTAACGTTCAGCTCGCAGGTGACGGTGAAAATCGTTGACGGCGAGCGCTAGGCCTCGATTGTTACCGACGACACTACGAAATTGACAAACAGCAGAGGAATCTGGACGTAATGAACATGGCAGCGCAGAGTGCTGACAAACGTTCGAACAATTTAGCACATAGTCTATAGAGGAGTGGTATAATTTGGGTGGCGACCTTTCGGTCGTGTAATATTTTACTGTCCTAGCTTTCTTAAAACAATGTTTGTGGGGTGATTTTGTGTTCGCTCATGTATAACTGGGAGGTCGCCCGGATGATGACTGTATTTGTGGTGGTTGGTTCCAGTGCGGTTATTGATTTTCTTTGTCGTATTTTGTTTAAGACACACTTCCGATGCAACATAAGAAAATTAACACTACTGTAAATAAAGCAAAAAGAAAGTTTGACACCACATACATATACAAAATATTTGACAAACATAAATACAAATAATATTCAGGGTTGAAACAACGGATTCTCTAAAAATATATTGAGTCCGATAAATTTAGTGATTCAGCCTCTTACTCACATTTGCATATGCAAGGAACAACAGTTCCTGGGGAGAACGATTCTCATGTCCTGGGAGTTTAACGTCCGCTCTGGGCGTTGTTTCTAATATTTTGCCGAGAGCCTAAATCAATAAGGAAAATAGAAAATCAATGTGGTATTCAGTCTGAGTAATTTAATTATGATAAAAGTAAGGCCTTCAGTTACGGCTTTCTAAAAGCCGGAATATCAGAAACATAACAACACGACTGGGGCATGCAGAGCAAGCACAGGCCTCGCGGAAAATGGTTTAGGTGCATCAGGTTATAATTCACTTAAGAAAATTAACAAAAAGGTATGTCATGTTGTTTTGGTATATACTTTTGCGATGAATGAAGTACTAGTTCATCAAAACTATATTTAATGTTTTATAGAGCAGGGTACTCATACTGTTTCTAGAAAAACTGCGCGAGGTACCACATTCTTCAACATTTTGAAATGTGTGTGCGGTCCGCTTTCCTGGGCTATATGAAAAAGGGTAAAAATTGCAAGATTCTGCTGCAGCTTGCAGCCAATATATCCTTTTATAAAACTGCAGAAAGGGTGACTTTAATTGTTTAAGCACAAAGCATGGCGAGACACAACTTTTATTTTGAGAAGAATGATTTGAGATTGTTACGATTGATGGTAGTATACCTGATCCGAAATTTAGTTTCATTACATTAATCCCTGTATACATATGAGTGTATACTATTTGTGCCACACCGATGCTGACTATCTTGAGGGTGATATAAGCTCAAGGTGAACCAATCCAGAGTATTTGTGGTCTGTGGTTATAAATTAAGTAAATATGCTTTTGAAGTGTTACGCTTGAATTGCACTCTGATTAACTTCATGACAGGCAGGGTATTAGAGCTGATGGATATACAGTGTGAAGTGGTGTTTTGTTGTATAGTCCTCGAAGGCTTTCGATTTATTACCTATACAAAAGAAAATATTCAAAGGTACCAAACATGCCGGACCGCTTACTTTCTTCAGTTTCTTTTTCGTTATGATTAGGGTTCCTTGTTTTGGGTAACTACAGACAAGCCCCGAAACCTAACCCCCAAGCTGGTTTTTCTCAATATTGGGGAAAACCGAAAAATCCTGAACTGCACTTTTTTCACGGAGAAAAACGCAAGCTTCGTGGGAAAAAAGATCTACAACTATGATTTTATTTGTGTGTTATCTTGCCCACAGCCATAGTCGACTGTCCGCGAGGATAATTATTTTTTCGTAGATCAGAATTCTTATCTAATTTTTGTTTAAATTTCTAACGGGACGTCTTTTAGATATTTTGAACGTGAGCATGTTCTCTGGAGGTTGCGGACTCTTTCGCCCATGTCCTGCTTCTTCAACATAAGGCCCGATAAACATCAATTTCCTCTCCGACACGAACAATTGACAGGAAAAACACCGAATTTGTTGAATACAAATAAATCATAAAGACACTGAACCCTAGTTATGACACAAAAAGACGCACATCAACCCAATGCTTAGAAGTACTGATAAAATGATTTCTTTACTTTTTTTTCTGGAGCATAACATCACATTACTTTATGCTACAGTTTAAAGCCCATCTTTCAATTTAGAGCGACATACTGAATGACTTGATTTTTAATGTCAACCTTTTACTATCCTTTTCAACGGTCAGGTGTTGCTTTCCTTGCCAGCATGTGGTAACGTTATACCAATGCTCAAGCTTTGAGGTTTCACACAATCTGGATGACCTTAAACATTTTGAACGGTGTAACGAAGCCCTATTTCTTCCCGGCGTCACAATACAGATAAAATCTAAAATGGCAGAATAGATTAAACACGGCGTCGCACTCTTTATATTTAAAATGCATAACCATTAAAAACACTACAAGTTCGAGCACAGTTTTTTTTTCGTCTTTGTTTCATCGTGTTTTATCTTTCTTTTTCACTGAAAAGTGCTTATGTTTTTATTTGTCTTTCTCTCTTAAATATCAGTCCTTATTTTTTGTCTTTTTCTCAAACTATTAAACGCCAGTTGTAAGTAGCTCTCTATCCTGTCTCTACGTTCTTCATCTCTTGTCTTTGCGCTAATTTTACCAAGATGTTTAGTAACACAATATATAAAGTCACAATAGCTTCTTGAAATGGGGGAACCCTGCACCATATTAGTTTTAAGAAAAACACTCTACTTCACACATACTGACGCCAAAAATATTCGGATGTTACTTTCCACATCATTGTTTTCCTTTGTTCAGCTCGTTTTTTGTGTAGTCCGAAGGCAGTAAAATGTTTTATTGCAACAAAGTTTTCTCACTGAGAATCTTCGAGCAGAGTTCTTGATATCAGAATCTACAGCGCAGAGAACATTTCATATAATTAAAACAGCGCAAAAACACAAGGAATAGTAGAAAAAGGGACAGAGACACAGCGCTGTTTCTGTGTCCCTTCTTCTACTCGTCTTTGTGTTTTTTGCTTTATTTTAATAATGTTTACCATGCACTACCGACTAGCCCACCTCGAAACATTACTGTAGAATATTCCGTCTTAGAAGCAACCCTAACACAGTAAAAACAGTGCAGAGACAATAGAGAAATGAAGTTATATAAATACCAATAGAATAGCACTGATCGCGCCATTGTCAGCAATATTCTCCACCTCAGTTCTTGTTCCACTGAGCTATACAAGGAAATTAAAAAAATACTTTGATCATATATCAAAATACTGTGTACCTACGTGAAGTGTAGGTACGTAAAACATGTCTACGTTAAAGTGATGAATATTCAATATACAATAAAACTGGTTCTTAAAAATAGTCACAAAACACATTTTTAAAATTGTGTCTTGATTTAAGTTTGCAACTCACAACATAAACATGAGTGTTAATGGTTGAAAAAAAAAACCGAGACTGCGGGTAAACGACACAACACTAAAAAGTCTCTTATAACTAGAGACTTTTTAGTGTTGTGTCGTTTACCCACAGTCTCGGGGTTTTTTCAACCACGTGCGATGTACACCAGGTCGTTTGCGCCCTTACATTTTGTTCATGACTTAATTTGCTTGGGCTCTGCTGCAAAGGCCCCTCGGCAGGAGGTCAGTTAACTCAAAGAAACAAGCTCCAGTGAAAATACATTACGGTATAGCTCGCAGACCGTGCATGTTTAAAAAAGCCATAGTCTTACGCGGTCTTATCTATATAGTTGCGGGCTGTACAAGGATTTGTTCTTGTCCAGATCGTTAAATTTGACAAGACCTGGCGTATTTTGTGGATGATATATTGTGTTAATTATCATTTTGTTTTTATTTTGCTATCACTTTAGCGCTAATGAAGTAGGCATTTTCCAAGGCGTGCCGTTTACGATTCTCTCTTAAGTGCCCACAATGCACCAGGTCTGGACTACCTAAACTTTAATTGTCTTAAAAAAAATTGCTGTTAAACAATATTCAAACAATGGTCTTTCTCGTCATATTTATCTGTTTGCATATTTTCATGGATATTGTAATTGCGCATGTGCCTTTTGTCCCGTCCCGTGCCTTCTTTCATGTATTTTCCTCAACAACACTCGATATGGGCTGCTGAGGGAAATGCAGCCTTCTCAAAGAAAGATAATGTGATGAAAAGGAACGCTATGCATCTGGCTGTGGTAGGTGACGCCACGGAGTGAAATAGGTTTTCTGTCAAGAGATTAAACGTAATGAACAACATGCAGATTTTTTGCTAGGAGGCAATAACACGTAAAGAAAAGTTACGTACTCGTTCTTCGGCTTCTGCATCATATATATCTGAATATTGGCTCACAAAGCACTGGGCGTTTTTTGTAAATTCCGCTATATCTTGTGGAGTCCACCATTTTGACAGTTTCCCAGTGGCATCGAATTCCCTGCCTGTGAAAAAGTAAAAACTTATATAGTTTTCTTCACTTTTAGGCTGAAATTTATAGGTGGCAATTTAAAATAAATTTTAATGAACTGTACTGTGTTTGTGAAATATTAATATTACTACTTTATTTTCTGGTGGCGTCCAAAACCGGCCACGAAAGCCTACTTATTGGTACACTATAAACAAAATAACCATCGCATTAAAGATGCATCTGTCTGTTGAGGCACAGCTTGAGGCACAGGTTAATCAATGGTAGCCAAAAGAAATTAACAAACGCAATACACAGATATACGAAGACGCTACAGTTAACACAAAGCGCTAAAATCAAAAGAAAACACAATAGTACTAACGCAAATAAAATTTCACACTATAAGACGTATCTGCGTAGATGTCAAGATGAGGAACAGAAAGCTCGTTATAAAGGTGCTGGATTCTAGGCATTGGCGCGGCATAGTATGATGTATTTGGGTAAAATCGCAAAACGAAATCTACTCGTACAGAACGGTACATGAAAGTTCACAGATAATTGGAGTGAATACAATCAATTCTACCACCGATGACTTTATGTAAAAACGACAAATCACGAATGGTACGCCCCTTACTTAGCTCTCGCAAGTTAAGATATTTAAGTAGAGATTCGTATTTATAATAACGACGATTAAAGTATCTATCGTATGCGGTTCGAACCAGACACTCCTGAACTCTTTGATTTTCGTATACAATAAAATAAAAAAATTAAATAAAAACAACTAGTTAAGCTAAATATCTAGGATAATTCAGCCTCATATGAAACGGAATATGACTTCATTTTAATCTTAAATCTACTAACTATGAGCAGATTATTGGCCTTAAATAGATAAAAGAGAACATCGTGTTCTCTCCGCTCGTCCTGCGCTACTGCGAGTGACCGCCTTGTCGACACCTGGTAATTTATCTGGTCTTCCAGTAAAAAAAAGTGTAGAATCTAATAATAGTTTTTTTTATTTTATTGCACACTGGTGCTATCACTCTTAACAAAGCTATATTTTTAATTAATTGACACAGCTAAAAAAGACAAACATGGTTCCCCTTTCGAAAAATATTAAAACCTCACGTTACCTTTACTGTCAAAGCCATGTGTGAGCTCGTGGCCTCCAAAAAACCCTGAACTTCCCAGGCTGGCAGCACTGCACAGATTAAAGTTTCAATTTGTCCAACAATTCTCTTCAAAATTGTGCGACCTAATCTCGCAAGATTCTTGAAAAACAATACTATACAACCAATTCCAAGACATTACTTAAGCCTGGAACACATATTTTCTATAAACAAGAAATATTAAATAAAGTTGTTAAACAATTCCTTCTGAACTGCTTCTGATGGTTATTATTTGAAATTATTTACCACGTAATTCCTCTTCAGTGACAACAAACGCAGAGAAGACAAAATTGAAAATTTGTATATTGCTGCACTACGGCTTGTTGCGTGATGAGCATCGAGTGCTGGTTTTAGGAAAATATGGGTTTTACTGTTTATATAGTGTGCCAGAAGCCACTGGCGTGGTTCAGAGTTGTCGTTCTTTCTTCCTGTTTGACTTCCCATCGCGCGACCCTTTTCTATATCGTTTTTTGTAAGTAGTCGCGCGCCACAAGATCTATGCTGTTGTCGGCGCGGTGTTCGAAAATTCTGGAAAAGAATTTGAGACGTCCGGCCCGAAGCTTAGGCGAAAGGCATCTCTTCTTTTTTATTGTTGTCGCACCGGCTCCCGAGATCCACTGCGCGAGCCAGAGCGAGAGTTTGAACGAGCAACTCGCGCTCGCTGTGCTCGGTTCTGTGGCGCGCCCATCGTTTTCATTCAGAGCGCGAAGTATTTCTTTTTGTGTGAGTCATTTATTAAAAGCTGTGACTCTACAGAATCCCCCCCCTAGTGGCGTGGAGCAGAAAGTTTTGTTGAGCTCCACGTAACGATTTTGTTCGGTGGGTGTGGAGGACGGGAGGTGGTGGTGGTGTTTGTCGCACTAGGTGGTGGAACGGGCATAATGACGGGGGCTGTAACAGTAGAGGCCAAGTATGCTGGCTTGACTCTGTCCAGCGTGATGACGTCGTGGCGCCCGTTGATGTCGATGGTGCAGGTCTTGTCCGTTCGCGAAAGTACCTCAAATGGACCATCATACGGTGGCGTGAGAGGTGGTCGTACTGCGTCTCTTCTTACGAATACATGTTTGCATGTATTGAGATCGTCACTAATAAATATGTGCCGAGAGTTTGAGTGTCTAGATGAGACTGGACACAGGTAATTGAAAAATGTCTTCATGTCCTGAAGGTATGATGGGATGTCCGTTGGTTCAGAGGGTATGCAGGTTAAAAATACTCCAGGTAATCGAAGTGTGGTTCCATAAACGAGTTCAGCTGAGGTGCAGTCGATGTCGGCTTTCAAAGTGGCACGAATTCCGAGAAGGACAAGAGGAAGGTGATGAACCCAATGGGTTCGATCTTCTTTTGTCATTAGCGCTGCTTTGAGCTCTCGATGCAGCCTTTCCACCATGCCATTGGCAGCGGGATGATAGGCTGTTGTGTGCACGTGCCTGACACCCAATATCTTCGTGAGGGCTGTGAAGAAGGCGCATTGAAACTGCCGGCCTCGGTCGGTTGTAATGGTCGACGGACAGCCGAAACGCGCGATCCAGATGGAGATGAAGGCGTGAGCGGCTGTTTCCGCTGTGATGTCGGCGAGCGGAACGGCCTCTGGCCGTCGCATGAATCTGTCCACATATGTTAGTATGTATCGAAATCCGTTTGATGATGGTAGGGGTCCTACAATGTCAATGTGTACATGATCGAACCTGGCGTCTGGTGGGCGAAATGCGTGCTTTTTGTGTGTGGCGAAACACTTTAGATCGTTGACATTTGTTGCATGTTTAAGTCCACAGACGGATGTCAGAGTTCATTCGGGGCCAGACGTACCGTGACGTAACGAGACGCTGCGTAGCACGGATACCGGGATGATTTAGGTCATGGATAGTGTGGAAGATGGCTTGCCGAAATTTTTCTGGAATGTAGGGTCGTGGTGTGGAGGTAGATACATCGCAGATAATTTCGCAGGTGGCCAGTGGTAATCTGACGGGCTGTAGTTGAAGGGATGTGGAAGATACCCGTAGATCTTGTAGCTCGCTGTCTTCCTGTTGTGCCAAGGCCAATTCCGTGAAATTGACAACAGGAGATGAGGAGATGGCGTCAATGCGGGAAAGTGCATCTGCTGGCATGTTTTGGGATCCAGCGACATGGCGGAGATCGGTAGTGAATTCCGATATGTAGGCCAGGTGACGAATTTCTCTGGTGGAGTAGGAGTGGTGATTGCCGAGGAATGCGTAGATCAGTGGCGTGTGGTCGGTGAGGACGTGGAAAGCTCGGCCTTCTAAGAAGTACCGGAAGTGGCGGAGGGTCGCGGAGATTGCGAATAGCTCTCGCCCAAACGTGCTGTACCGTGTTTCGGCTGGGTTGAGTTTTTGTGAAAAGACACCCAGTGGGAGCCACTGATGATCGCCGTATTGCTGAAGCACTGCTCCTACAGCGACATCGGATGCGTCGACCATGACACGCGTTGGTGCGTTTGGCATGGGGTGCACAAGGAGTGTGGCCTCAGCCAGGGCATTCTTGACCGCGGTGAAGGCAACCTCCGCATCTGGCGTCCATGGTATTGGCGTCGAAGATTTCTTGGGGCCGCGGTGCAAGTCGGTAAGGGGCTTGATGGTTTGAGCGCAGTGTGGAATGAAGCGCCTGTGAAAGTTGATGAGCCCTAGGAACTCCCGCAGCTTGCGTAGAGATTGCGGTTGTGTGTAGTCACGAATGACTTGCACCTTGGAATGAAGTGGTTCGATGCCCGTGGTTGTTATGCGGTGCCCTAGAAAATCTAAGGATGTCACGCCAAAAACGCACTTCGTCACATTAATGGTAAGACCGTAGTCGCGGAGTCGTTCGAAGAGCAAGCGCAGGTGTGTGCTGTGTTCTTCGTGTGACTTGCTCGCCACAAGCAGGTCATTTACGTAAGCAACAACGAAAGGTAACCCAGATAGAACTTCGTGGATGAACCTCTGAAATGTCTCGGCGGAATTTCGCAATCCAAAAGGCATCCGGATGTACTCGAATAGGCCGAAGGAAGTAGTGATGGCCGTCTTTGGGATGCCCTCTGGTTGGATTGGAATGTGATGGTAGGCCTTGACTAAATCAATCTTGCTGTAGATGGACGTTCCAGCAAGATGTTCAGTAAAGTCATGGATATGGGGTAAAGGGTACCGGTCAGGTTGGTGTTGTGAGTTGAGTGCCCGGTAATCCCCACAGGGTCTCCAGTCGCCCAGATCTTTCTTGGGCACCATGTGTAGAGGCATTGCCCAAGCGCTGTTGGATGGCCGGATGATGCCTAACTCGAGCATATGCTCGAATTCTTGGCGGGCTACCCTGAGGCGTTCGCCAGATAGGCGTCGAGGGCGTGCAAAGGTAGGCGGGCCAGAGGTGATGATGTGGTGCGTCACCCCATGTGGCGGTGGCTTTGCCATGTTGGAGGTCTTGGTAATTTCTGGAATGCGCCGAGGATGTCTGTAAATCCTGAAGCTGGGAGGATGTTTTTGATCCCAAGGAAAGTCTGGTTTGTGGCTACGCCATTTACAACGAGACGAGTCTTGTTGTCAATGAGACATCGGTGGTGCACGCTGACGTCTAGGCCGAAGTGCGACAAGAAGTCTGAACCTAGGAGAGGGTACGTAACGTCGGCGATGGTGAAGATCCACCGAAACATTCTGCGTAGCCCCAAGTCCAAAGTCACAGAGCGCATTCCGTAGGTAGGGATGTTTGAGCCATTTGCTGCAACTAGATGGCGGCCGGGTAATGGGTGTCGTTTTTGAGCTGGCGTTGGCGGAAGGATGGACATTTCCGCTCCGGTGTCAACTAGCAAGCGTATTCCTGAGATTTTCTCGGTGATGAAAGAGAGACGGCTTGCTGTTGGGCCAACGTCACTCGCCGCCTCTAGTGACTGGCCGGGGCGTTTCCCTGCCAATTGCATGGTTGTTGGAACTTCAAAGCTCGGTTGCCAAATTTCTGGTAGTACCAGCAGGAATCCCTAGCGCGTTGTTGCGAGGAATCGCGTCGTCGAGGAGAACTGCGGCGTTGAGACGGACTACGACGTGGCGGACGATGTGGGTGTCTACGCGTTGTGCTGAGTTTTTCGATGGCGGTTGTCAGAGCGTCGACGCGGGACTCAAGGGCTCGGATGGAGCAGCTCTGGTGGTCGTGGTCCGTGACGCTTGACATGGTTGGCGCAGCATATTCGGCAACGCGGTCCGCCATGTCGGCGAGGCGATCTAGTGGTAGGTCCGTAGCTAGTGCAAGGGTCATGCGGGCCCCTTGAGGCAAGCGTTGAAGGAACAGTTCCCATAGAATTGGGAGGTTCTGATCGGGAGCTTGCTCACCTAGAAGTTTGCGCATGCGGTGAAGCAACTGGGAGGGTCGCCGGTCGCCTAGCTCTTCGGTGGTCAGGAGCTGTTGTATCCGCGATGCCTTGGATGCTGTCTTCCTGGCGAGGATGGTTTCCTTGATGTGGTCATAGGCGTTCTCCGGAGGTGGGAGCGCCAGGACATCATCCACCTCATCGGCCACTTCGGGGGGTAGGGCAGAAACCACATGATAGTAGCGGGATTCCTGTGTCGTTATGCGGCGCAAGTGGAACTGGGCTTCCACTTGCGAAAACCAGGCCCGAGGATTCTTCGCCCAAAAAGCTGGAAGGCGGAGCTGGGTGGCGGAAAAGGTTCCATCGCCGTTGGATGAGCTGCCTGTGTTCCGGTCCATGTTGGTCGGACGTCCGGGTCACCAATTTGTCGGCGGTGTTCGAAAATGCCGGAAAAGAATTTGAGACGTCCGGCCCGGAGCTTAGGCGAAAGGCATCTCTTCTTCTTTTTTATTGTTGTCGCACCGGCTGCCGAGATCCACTGCGCGAGCCAGAGCGAGAGTCTGAACGAGCAACTCGCGCTCGCTGTGCTCGGTTCTGTGGCGCGCCCATTGTTTTCATTCAGAGCGCGAAGTATTTCTTTTTTGTGTGAGTCAGGTATTAAAAGCTGTGACTCTACACGGTCATCATGGGTTTTTACCTGCTGTGATACATAAAAAACTTTATTATGGGAACTGAAATCTTCAAGACGGC